TAGAATATAATTCGAATTTTGATAATATTTAAGTACAAAATTCGAATTTAGTTTTTCAGCCATTTTGACAGCCCTGATGTACATTAGGGTGTTTTGTGTTACATTTTGTTATTTATGTCATGTTTATTGCATTATTTCAATGCCGTTTGTTATCCTGTGCACCGTCTATGCATAATCATTGTCTGTGTTTTATAGACAGGCCATTTACTTTTACAGTTAGTCATTTAGCAGGACAATAGAAGCAATCAAACCAACAAAAGACCAATAATATGTAAATGCTGTGAAGTCCTGGTTAGTCTAATACAGTACACGTACAAAGTTTTTTTTAATAATAAATAAAAAGAAAATAAGTAGATAGAATAGAAAAAGAATAGAGAATGCTAGTGTTAGAGGGTCATTTATTATAATAAAAAAAAAAGTAGATCGAAGATAGAATAGAAACAGAATAGAGAACACTATTGTTAGAGGGTCAATTATTTATTCATTTATTTATTAATAAATAAAAAGAAAACAAGTAGTTAGAAATAGAATAGAGAGTGCTAGTGATGGAGGGTCAAGGTTTATTATATAATAAATAAAAAGAAAACAAGTAGTTAGAATAGAAACAGAATAGAGAGTGCAAGTGTTACAGGGTCAAGGTTTTCTGCAAATAAAACGAAAACAAGTATTAAATGAAACAAATTTACACTGAACTCTGTTTCATCATGTTGCTTTCTGTTGTATCACCTGTATTATTACGATAGGTGTTGATGCTTTTTATAGCAAAAAGCAGATATTTGTCATTTGAGTATATAGGTATATTAACAATATAACCCTTAATGAAATATACAGTTATAAGTTGTAAAATATACAGGCATGTTTTAACACTGGAAACATTGTCACAGTATTTTTACAGTGAATTTCGGGCAACCACAGCTGGCAGTTGTGTTTTTTTTTTTATGTAACAGGATATTTTTACACTGTAGAATAGAAAGCTTTTTTTATTCAAATAACCAATTCAGGCACAAGAAAAGTGCTGGCAGAAATAAAACACACACACACACACACACACACAAAAGGTTCCAGATCTTGTTAGTAACGCTTCTTTCCAAGTACAAAACCAGCGAGGCAAAGAAGCCCTTCCTCCACTTTGTTTTGAGTTTGACATGATTCAGACTGTGCAAAGAGAGAGATGAATTTCATAGATCTTGTCTTTCAGGTTGGCTGCATTCGCTCTCTCATTTGTTTTCCGCACAAACACTTGTTCCCTCCTTCCCTCCATCAATCGTGCAGACAGAGATGCAGGCGTGTGCTGAATTCCAAGCACAGTCTGACAGGCTGATGCAGGCTGAGGTTCAACACATGTGACTGACATAGTGACCGTGCTACAGAAGCAGCTCATCATACAGAGTTATGGGTGGGCCTTTTGACTTGAGCCAATAAGGCACCTGCTAAAGCAGCCAGATTGCAACATGCTTAATACCACTCAAAAGACCATAGCAACCACATAGCAATGTGCTGAATACACTCACACCTTAGAAACAGCATAGCAACCCCCTAGCAACCATCCAAAACATACTAGCAACTTATTTAGATCTTAGCAAGCAACAAGATGAAGAAGAGATTATGATGAACACCTTTCTTCAGGTTTTCCAGTACTGTTATTGATGGTTGATTGTTTTGTTCACTTGGTGGGTTTGTTTATCCTAGGGGAAATCTGATCCTAGAACAGCTCTTGACAGGTTACATACACATAAATCCAGTCATCACTCTCTGATTCCTCTCTCTGTCTCTGTCTGTCTGTTCTCAGAGTCTCTCACTGACAGGGTGGGCCGGCGGCGCAGTATGCCTGGCAGTACGGTGGACAAAACGGTGGTCGCTATGGATGCAGAAACGTCAACACCTTTTAAAGTCACGGTACGCACTTATGACAGCAGCACAGATAAAAATAGTACGTTTACAACCTTAAGAGGATTTAAACATCTCTCTGAGCTTGGAGTTGAATTTCAAAATGTGATTCAGTTTGACATTAGATGGTCATTCATATTATGCTGTACACTTCATAAATGCCTTAATATGTCAGATAAAATATTAAATGCATAATTCTTTAAAAAAAAATTATGAAGTAGTTTTCTTCACATTATGTCAACATGGCGTGAATTTTAAATAATTTCACCATTTTGGTTTGAAAATAAAACAAACTGCAAACACTTTGAAATAAAAAGAAAACAAGTAGATAGAATAGAAAAAGAATAGAGAACGCTAGTGTTAGAGGGTCAATCTTTTTATAATAAATAAAAAGAAAACAAGTAGATAGAATAGAAATAGAACAGAGATTGCTAGTGTTTGAGTTTTTTTTTTTTAATAAATAAAACAAAAGTAGGTAGAATAGAAATAGAATAGAGAGTGTTAGTGTTAGAGGGTCAAGTTTTTTTATAATAAATAAAAAAGAAAACAAGTAGTTAAAATAGAAATAGAATAGAGAGTGCAAGTGTCAGAGGGTCAAGTTTTTTTTAAATAAAAAGAAAAACAAGTAGATAAAATAGAAATAGAATAGTGTTGGAGGGTCAAATGAAGATTTCAAACAAAACATATTTTTCTTTGGATTATTTTTACATTTTTATTTTTTTATTATATTTTTTTAACTAGTCTGTTTTCAGTTTTCATTTTAATTTTTAGTATTTTTTTAATAATAAAATTTTAAGTTTTAGTAATTTTTTCATATGCATTTGTCATTTTTTATTTGTCTTATATTGTCTATAACTAATATTTTAGTTCAATTAATTTTACTACAACTTACATATTTGAGTTAGTTGCCAAGTCAATGTTCGTATTTTTCATTTAAGTTTTTCATCTACTATTTATATTTTATTTCAACTTTAAAAAATGATTTTTAATCGATTAGTTAACAATAACAACACTGTCAGTGGCAGCTCGTTCTCTAGGAAATGACATCATTTTTGGCATGGACAACAACAGCACAAAAATCTGTTTTTAAAAGTTACAAACTTTGAAAGTTAGTGCATTAAAAGAATGACCCAGACATTTGACTTTTTGATGACTTACAGTACTCTGATTACAGGTTTAGTCCCTTCGGAGGAACCTGTGAATAAGTGCCTTACTAAAGATGACACTTTAGGGATGCACTTACAGGTCACACTGCCTTTTACAACAGAAAGTGTTTGCTGTGGATAATAGTCGTAGCGTGACACATACAGCTTTACTGACTTTTATGACAGATTCTGTTTGCCGAGATTAGTGGAGCAAAGGGCACCGGATTGCACTTGTAGACAAACTGCAGACCGCAGTTCATTGAACTCTGGTACAAGGTTAATCCCAGCAGTTGTTGCTAAGCAGGTCTCATCACGCACCCTGAGGAGAGACGGCATGTCATTGCTGCTGTGCTGTGCACTTCCTGCCTAGGGCGAGAAGCACCGGTCCTAATGACTCTCCTCGCAGATAAGTGAGTGACACGGCCACAGCTGGCTCTGAATCCTCGGGTCAGCCTGAGAGGAGAGAAGGATTAGGCATCCTGATAGAGTTAAGCTATCGCTTTATAGACCTCAATGGGCATCTAATGGGGAGCAGTCCTTGGAGGAGATAATAAGTGAGTGACACGGCCACAGCTGGCTCTGAATCCTCGGGTCAGCCTGAGAGGAGAGAAGGATTAGGCATCCTGAAAGAGTTAAGCTATCGCTTTATAGACCTCAATGGGCATCTAATGGGGAGCAGTCCTTGGAGGAGATGCAATCAGTCCTGGTTGATGCGTGCTGTAAATGAGACAGATGGGTAGCGAGTCTTACTGCATTTAGCTGCGATGTGGAAAAGCCACAGGCACAGCTGGCAGCACCGGTACCCACGCTTCCCTGCTCTTGTTGCACACCCTCCTGAGAAGGGCAAGATTATCCCCTCGTGCCCCTCACGGTGAAGTAGGTTGCAGAGTTGATGAGGTGTTGCGTAAAAATGTATCCATCCTGTAATACTGTACCGCTGGCGTACAACCCAATTGGGACAGGTTACCATGGAGACAGTATCATATTGATTGATTAAGCCAGTTATTATGGATTTGAGTAACTTTTTTACTGAACTTTCGCTTCAATATGACTTGCCGTCTATGTTGTAATTTAGTCAAGTCAGTTTTATCTGTATAGCAATTAAAAATAACAATAGGAGTTGATTAAACAAATGTATAATTCATATATATGTGTTTCTTCAACTATGGCTCCCTTTGGTCTTGTTTTAATCTTTTCACACTCTCACTATTATGTATTTACAGCATTCATTTATTTATTTAGTCCATTAACAATGTCCAACAGTATAACCGTGTACATCATTGGATAAGTTTTTTTCTAAAAGTCATGAAAATTTCCACCACAGTGTCATTTCTATTCTGTAGTGGAAATACCATTTAAAAAAAAAATGTATATAATGGAAAATTATTTAGTTTTTACAATTAGCATTCTTTGTATTGTAAATGTACACAATTACATAATAACTTCATACTTTTTGTTTTCATAATTTGATAAAATTACAGCTTGATTGGAAATGATGTATGATACAAAAAAAATCTAGACATTTTAAGAAATGAAAACTTTTATTCCGCAAATATGTATTAACTCAAAATTGATCAAAAGTGACAGTAAAGACTTCCACATTGTTACAAAACATTTCTGTTTCAAATAAATGCTATTCTTTTGAACTTTCTATTCATCAGAGAATTCAGTAAAAATGTATCATGGTTTCCATAAAATATGTATTCAAATATTAAGCAGCACAACTGTTTTCAGCATTGATAATAACAAATGTTTGATGAGCAGCAAATCAGCATATTAGAATGATTTCTGAAGGATCGTGTGACATTGAAGACTGGAGTAATGATGCTGAAAACTCAACTTTGCCATCACAAAAATAAATTACATTTTAAAGTATAATAAAATAGTAAACAGTTCTTTTAAATTGTAATTATATTTCATAAAATTACAGTTGTACTGTATTTTTGATCGAATACTGTAAATGCAGCCTTGGTGAGCATGAGACTTTTTCAAAAACGTTAAATAATCTTACCATGCCCAAACATTTGAACAGTAGTGTACATAAAAGGCAATAGAAAAGTAGCAAAAGTAAATGAATGGAATGTATGGAAAAATGTTCCATTTGATTGTGGTCTTTCAATGTGAAATATGTCAATATGAATAAAAAGTCCTTGGTTATAAAGTTCCCCAAAGTTGAAGAAACACTTCAGTAATTCAGTAAAATATGCACTTCAGTAATTCCCTCTTAGGCCTGTGTATTTATTTTCTAGTGGTACAGGTTGCATTCAAATATTGGCATCAGTCTGTTGCTACTGTTTACCCCCTACCAGAAACCTAAGATAAACAGTTATTTCAGTGCTTTCAGCTCACCCATTTTGCTTAATTACAGAGCTAAACTAATGACAGGATCTATTAATTGACGCAAGACAGAATGAGCACAGTGTTTGTAAGCATGCTTGAACGTGAACGCCCCTTGTGCATGCCGATGAGTTGTGTATTTGGCTCCTGTGGGGACACAAGAGAGTCCCGCTGTCTCCGGTGATACGGAGTCTTTCGTGTGAGTACGCCGAACCGGATCCACACTAATTGAACAGGATCCCAGGCTTGTCGGAACAGAAGGAGGAGGGCAATAGAGCGCCCCCTTGCTGTGCGGACCACTTTGAGAACCCTGGGAGAAATCCAATACCTTGCTCTGGTGATGTATGTAGACGCGATCATTAGGAACCCAGGGTTACGGATTTCCCCACAGGCCAGTGGTTCTCGTGAAGAGCAGGCAGCTTCAGACCATGGACTCCTCTGCATTATGGCTCAGGCTAGACTGTCTGGCTGCGAACAACAGATAATGACATTAAATGTATTGTTTCAGCAGATGCTCAGACTCATTCAGGCTCTTTGCAGAGACTCGCTGCAGTCGGGAGTCTTGTTTAGTTGTTATCTGAGAGATAACATGTTTCTCATGTTTGATAACGTCTATTATGCTAAGTGCCTTCATGGAAGACTGAACCCAAAGAACTTGTTTTCACAATGGAAAACATCTTTTTTGCACATTTTGTCACTGGCTACTGTTGTCCTAGAGGTCATAGGTGTCAAATGCATTGTCAGAGCAGGGGAACACTGCAAAAAAAAAATATATATATATATAT